ACTTTCTTCGGTGCGAGTCGTACGGCCACCGAGTGGCTACACTTAAATCGCCTGGTGATGTTAAAGTGGCAGCCGAGTCACCAGGACCCTATGGACCACCTGGCCCAGCTGGACTTGCCAGATCAGGAGGTGAGGGAGAGGTTGCGCACGGTCAGATGGTATGGGCTTGAACGCATGCATTTTTGCCTACTTTCAATTCACAATAAAACCCAGGCTGCAATGCACCAGCCTTGCCGGTGCGATCATGCGTTTTTGCAGCGGACTTGAAGTAATCAGGTCGTTAACTGCATGTATGATTGTTGTTTTACACCACAAGTGGGCAACCGACGGCCTACGAGCCGGATCTGGCCGCGACTGGTTTTAATCCGGCTCGGAAGGAATTGGAATGAACGGGAAGTTTGTACTCCTCCGCGTTTGTACTCGTTTGTGCTCGTGAGTATAAATAAATAGCAGCGCGCACCAGAGTAGCCGGTGCGATCGCATGTTTTGCGCAGATCCATTCAACGAACATTGCTTGCTAAGGATTTTCACTGTTTTGCGCTCTGTTCTGTGCAAAAATAGTTGAATTGTTGCATAGTCCCTGAGTTACGGATTTTCTCATGGAAAATTTCACGTACTGCTACGTAAAAGCTGAATTTGAAGCTTTGGACAGTAAAAGTCCTTCCAAAATTTTAACTTTCATTTTTATGACTTTCGAGTGATTTTCGCGTCAAAACTTTTACATGGTCGTACTTGAGACCTCGGCATACTTGATTCCAGTTTACATGGGTAAAAACATCCTCCAGAATATCAGTCAGCTTTGTTCACCTGTCATCTTACAGAATGGCCAAGTGACTAACTCAGCTCTATTTTTCCGCACAATCTCCAGCAAATGTTTCCAATTTTGTCCGATACAATTTTACAAATTAAGTTCTCCAAATAGTGGTTAAAATACCGATTCTAAGACTTTTATTTCACTACTTTCTTAAATATTTTTTTCTTGTTTTCAACGCTACCAGCACCAGCTGGTGGATCAGGGCCAGGCGGAACAAGAGGAGTTGCCGGAGGAGGAACATCAGGACGTGCGAGACCACGAGGAGGAGCTGGGCCGCCAGGCGAAGCAGCTGCACTTGACCGGGGGTCATCTGAACCATCCGGTCAGACAGGTACTGCTGGCCAGCTTGGAACTGTGCGTCTATTTCTATTCCGCGTTCTGGGTTTTTCGATGTATAAAAAATTAAAACATACATTTTTGGAAGCATATATTCCTTTGAAATAGCCGCATGCGGTTAACATCCAAACCACTCCTGCGGGTAATATGGAGCAGGCCAATCTGCCGTTTCTTGCTTTGTTAGCATCTTCTAAAGCTATTAAGACTTCTTAAGCTAGCGGCGTGAGTCTGAGATGGATTTAGACAATGATGATGAAATGTTAACTTGAAGAAGTTTCAGGTTGGCAAAGGTGGAATTACAGGGCTGTTCATGTCCACTACGATTATCGCTGACTGTGAAAGCGCCATCACTGGATGCGGCCAAGTCCGTGGAAATGCAGTTGCAGATGTTGAAGGTATTCAACGCCGTCTTGGCGCCGCAAAATGATATCGACAGATCTAAGAGATCCCCAACAATATTTTGAAGTAGCATGAGAGAGAAAAGCTGTAATTATTTTGATAAGAATACACGTTATTGACGTAGTTATTATGTGTTTTTGCTGTGCAGCGCTATAGCGCCACTAAAGCCGGCAAAAACGCATATTGTCGGGAGATCGTCTGTACGTGTATGTGTTCAGAAGCGAGTGAATTATGTCACCTACTTTCATCTCAGCAACCAGGAAAGCTGGAAGGCTGAGATTTTGGGTATATGTTCCTGCTCGGTGTGCCATCCTCTCGTTTTAAAATCTTCTCCCACACGCGCCTGGACCCTGTGTACGGACCCCCGAAAAAAATGCAGATTTCATTGGCGGTAAACGACTTCGTAAACCAGGCAAGGTATAAAGCTGAAACTCTGCACGGATATTCTCTGTGCATGTGCGAGCTAAAGATTTCAAACTCAGCTGTCAAGCACATTTGTGCAGCTTGTATGATCACGTCAAAGTTTGTAACTTGATGCCGTGCCAACTCAAAAACTTGCCAGAAAGCAGTGGCTGAAATTTTGACAGCTGGTTTATCGCCCATATGGGAAATCGTATACCTAAAATGAATATCGATTTGCACTTGCGCCACAAATTAGGACACTTCAAAGATATTTGTAGCGAAATGGCTATTTCGCTTATCGGATAAGGTGTGAGGCTGAAACTTCGCTGAGATAATCTAGTTTCAAGTGCGGCCTTAATTCTGCTTGGAAGTGAAATTCCCTACAGGTGGGCATGAGGAATACCCATCTTTACCGAAAAACTAGAAACGAGTGCGTTTTGCAGCGAACGACCGCCCTTATCCAAATATGTAAGTGACATTCAGTTAATTAGCATACTTGGATTTTTTGACGAACGACCGCTGAAGCAACATTTTCACTTTTTAGTGAACTGGAAATCTGCATTTTTCATTGTTTCAAAAAGCGAGCATTTACCGAAAAAACGACCGTGCCTCGTACAAAAAACGAGTAATCTTGTACCTGGAGGTCCACGCGGCTCTATAATGCACCACATTCATCCCAACCGATGTTCTTTCTCCTGCATGCCGGAGGGGGCTAAAACTCGGTCAATATGATGCCAAATATTCGGCTATAGCGCAGGAATCATTTTTGCTATTAACGACCTGC